GTGTACGCATTGTATCTATGTATGCCCTGGGTTCAAATCCCTAACAAGTCATGCTGTTCATCCTAAACAGTTTTTTACTTACTACTATATTAGAGTGACATGGTCGTCAGCTAAAAGATACTGACCAACTTCCTCTTGCAGTGCTGACTTGGCTTAGTGGTTGAGCTGGGAGGTATGTATGCCCTGGGTTCAAATCCCAGAAGTCACATAGAGCGAAGACAGCCTTTTTGTAACGCTGGCTAAAATTTACTAATCCAAGGCTTGTAACATCCAAAGTCCCAAGAACGGGTAGTTGTCTTAGTTGTCTTATGCCGAGAACGGGTGACTTACAAAGTGCCGAGCTTGGACGCCCGGGTTCAAATTGCAGGCAGGTAAAAGATACTGGCCACGATCGTCTTCCAACGTTGGCTTGGCTTCGTGGTTACGCTGGGAGGGTACGTCGTGTATGTATGCCCTGGGTTCGAATCCCACAAGTCAGTTACACCTATCGCAACTCTTGTTAAAATTTACTAATCAATGCTGGTTTGACCGATGTTGTCTTGGATCATGAAAATTTGAACTGCAAGTTCTGCCTGGTCTGCCTCTGCTTGGCTGCTAAATTAAAGGCCAAGCTGAAAACGATTCGGCTTGAAAATGCCGGCCTCAGTGATGCATCGGCTGATGAGATGTTCATAAATTCTCGTGTCCGGCCGACTCGGTGATATCCATGAACCATGACTACCATGTGGGTCTCACCAGCTGACCCTGGTAACCAGAGTTGAGGGCCCTCGGCCGACCACCAACCCAGGCGAATTCAAAATGTCTGCTGACCTTGCATAGCCTAGCTGCTAATCAGAAGTGAAGGCCCTCGGCCGATCACCAACCCAGCAACGTTCACAACTGTCAGCCGACCTTGCATAGCTTATCTTCCATCAACCGATATACAAATACAATGTTCAAAACTGTCAGCCGACCTTGCATAGCTTAACTATCTTCCATCAGCCGATATACAAATACAATGTTCAAAACTGTCAGCTGACCTTGCATAGCTTAGCTATCAGCCGATATACAAATACAGGGACTTGACTTCCTGGGGCAGCTTCCTACTGATCGGTGTATGCTAAATCTACGTAGCTGGCCGACCCTTCTTTACCTTGATAGTGGGATCACATCGGCCAATTCATCAACACAGGGTTATTGGCCCTCATCAGCCCATCAGCAGGCACCATCAACTATGGCCTGTTTGTATTAGTGTTCGCAAGTTCAGTTCAGTCCGGTTTTTTGCCCCCAAAACGCGCAACCGTGGACCGCAACCGGTCTAGGACCGACCCAGATATTGAGGGAACCGAACCGAACCACCTAGGACCGGTCTATTTCGGTCTATGGAGCCGGTTCAGACCGATCCAGACCGGTTTTTTTGCGTATAATTTATTATACCAATATAAACCATTTGTATCTTGACTATTATTACTCTGAAAAATAAACGGGTTATATGAAATAGTAAAGCATGTAAATACCCGTCATTCTACCAATTTTGAAGAGATTTAATGAAGATTTGACATAGCTATGACTGAAACCGAATTACATCTTGTAGAGACTCGGGTAAAATATGGATTTGGTTATATCTTTCTTAATTCTTAACCGTTTTTGATGAAACAAAAACCCAATAAAAGGTAATAAACGTGGTTACAAGGGTATGTAACGCACGTGACCGTTTAACCGGTTGCAACCGATCAAAACCGGTCTTTGAACGGTTTTAATATATTTTCGAAATGAGGCAACCGGCAACCGGACCAACCCCAAATTGGGGCAACTGCAACCGAAAAAAAGACCGGACCATGGTCCGGTTCAGTTCGGTCCACCGGTTTTTTGCGGTCCTATGGACTGAACCTTTAAACACTAGTTTGTATTGTCGGGCCTCTCAGTGTTGGTGGGTGATTCCGATAAGTGTCAGCCTCGTCAAGTCAACCTTTTCGAGGTAACCGAATACTCCAAAACAGCACTGATTGCCTAACGCAGGTATAGAGGACTGTTAGTACAGTAACTCGTACCCTGAGGGATAGGTAGATGGTGGTGAAAAGAGATATTGTATTTTTACGTTGTGACGTGTCAACTATGCACAACGTGGGAATCAATGACTAAAGATATAAGGTTTTGAGAATGAGGGGAAAGTGGAAAGTGTCGCGTACTATAAAGGGACTGAAGGAGTTAAGCAAATGAAGGTCCGTAGTATGTTACAACCAGAACCTCCAAACTCCTCTATCGCCCATCTCAACTATTCCAGATCTACATGAAGAGCTTGACAATGTTGAAGGCATTGACAACCACATGAGGTTCATGCTCCAATGTTTCCCTCACCACCAAGGACATCTGTCGTCGGAAGCCCTAGTCGCGCTCGCCCAAGGACATCCTTGGAGTGTGGTACATCCTACTCAACCACTTCTGATGGAGGGAGAGTTTCCACGATCCAACGATTCAGGGTACCAAGGCGCGAGCATTTCAGCTGGAAAGAAAAAGGTTGATTGGGACGATACTGCCCCATGGGACGAGAGGTCGTCTAGTGTCGAACAGGGCAGAGACTTCATAGAGGGTGCAGAACTTTCCTTTGGGTTTCAGACCCCCTTCCGAACTAATGCCAAATTCTTTGACACGTCAAGCAGTATCCCTCCTACTCCGTTCTCATCTGCCCCAGGTACAGTACCTGCTCTGGATGTGAGCTTAATGCAAGATGTAC